GTACAAATTGAGAAGGAAGCCCTGTGGGCCCTTCTCAATTTGTACTTGTACTTGAAGGATTCCCTAATTTCGCCAGTCCTGTCAACTTCTGTCATAGAGCACGACTATGAGTACTTGGCTTTCGGGCGCCGCCGGATAGTTCAACCTGCCGACAGACGTTTCGCATTGCATCCTAATTCTGATAAATGCCAATAGAGGCGCTGTTAATGCTATAATATAGGTTAAATAAGAATATAGTAATTGTGCTCCGGTCGGATTTTTTTCTCCTTGCGAAGACATTTCTTATGCTATAAGTAGAGTGGGTATTGGGACAATGACTTTGAATATTACGTGACCGATCGCTCGATTTGCTTGCCGTGCACGCCCGCTTACGGCGGGCCTGCCTAGGACCTTGGGTGGATGCTACACGTATACCGCATCCAATTCTATCCGGGACCGGTTCTGGGCTGTTAGCCGCCTGCTCGCTAGATATTTGGCCGCCCTCACCCGATTACGCGAATCGCGAGTAGATTTATAACTTAACCCAACCGATAAGAATTTACTGGTACGTTTTTATGATAGTTCTGTATAGTTGACAGGAGTTTAAAAAATCCATTAAAATATTCGATATTTTTATTCCGCTCTCCGATTTTATATTACTCGCGAATTTCAATGTTAAACCAGTGATATTATGATTTCGTATATCTCATCTTTAAGGGGATGTAAAAAAACGTGTACAATTCTTGTACAATGTTAAAAAATTAACTGTTACTTTGACAGCATCATTTACAACTAAATTTAATGAATGAAAGAGATGCACGAAGTACAGAAAAAGCTCTAGAATTTACTTTCCTTAAATTTACGATTTATTTATCCGTTTGACATAAAAATTTGTCTTTCCACTTTTTTCCCGACACTACAAATATTCGAGTACAAAGTAACCGAATTCGACTTATTTCTACTTAAGTAGTAGTTAAATAAGCGATTAGGGAATTGGAGACATAAACAAAAGCTTAACCAAACCATCTCTAGCCGAGTACAGCGGGGACTGATTTCTTCGTAATATTAGATGTAATATAAACAGAAATTTTTCCAGTTCAACGAGAGTGACCGAAGAGTTGTAAATTTTGGAAATTTCCGTGGACACCTGGTCCTAAAACGAATTAGTTAGAAAACAAATGACTTTTAAGTTTAGCATATTTAGATTTTTACAGCTATGGCGAGAAACGTTTAAAATCTACAACAGCCCCGTCGGGTCCTTTGAGATATACTAGTTATGCGACAAAAGAGATATTTGACATTGACCGGTATCGGCACCCTGGGGATTCGGCAGTCCGCGTGTATGCACGCTTTGCAACCGTCTTCGATTCCATCCATTAGCCACTCGTAGGGAGCTATTTGACTAATGCATTGTTTTAAGATTTAAAAAGTAAAGGATATTTTATATTTTTATGTACGTTTCTTTACAAAGCTATATTTAATTATAATTTTCTTTAAAAGTATATTCATACAATTGAAGAATATTTTGTACCAGGTATGTATCGGTACATCCACCACACATTTTATTTCACCGAGTAAGTTATTATTATTTTCCTTTTAATTGTAGCTCTTATATCGTGGCTAGCGATTCGGAATGTAATTGTGATATTAAAAATGCATTTAGAGAAGTCTACGGTTTTTACTAGCTTATCGAATAAACGATACGAATGGTCTCTAGACCATCGCTGATGCGCAATTGACTGATTGCCCCTGGATGTCGGCTTCTTACAGAAACAAAGCTTCCCTATCATCAAATGTCACGGCACGCCACTAATAGACCCGGTAGTTTTTTCTCTACTAGCGTCTGCAGTGCCGGATGAAGAAAAATACAGCTTTTTTTTGACAATTTTTGCACTTTTCAATTGCTTATATTTCGGCAACCGCTTTATAGAAAAGCTTAAAATTTTGCATATTATCTAAGAATATAATGATATTTTGAACGAGATATTCTGAATTACTTTAGATGTTTGGGGGAAGGAGAAATCAATCCCCGAAAATCAGCGACTCTGATTCTTGAGAATGTGTAGAACATCAAATTCTTCAACTATCTTTTTCTTGATATTCAAATATAATTTTTAATTTTAGCATTCTAAAAACAAAATCCATTAATACAACTGCATAGATAGTCAGATAGCTGAACGTTTAAGGTATCAACCCACCTCTCTAGAGACCAGGAAACGAAGCTGGGCAGATAGAGTAATAAAAGTACATTGTAAGAACGTATAATACTTTCATACCAGAAACTTGTCAAACTTCGTGAAGAAAAAAATAATCCTGGAATTTTAAATACAAATTTGCTTATGTTTTGTTGAAAGTTTCCGAAAGCATTATTATTATTACAGTATATATAATACTGGCAGATAAGAGGAAAAAATGTTGATGTTAACTGATGTTGGCTTTTTAAGATTTTTTTTCGTTTTTGACTCTTTTCACCCCGCAGGCACTAAGACAGCCTTTTTAATCATACCCACTGTGGATTCGGCTAAACCGGATGGTGACGGACAGAGCCATACATCTCCGAAACAGACAGTTTGAATTCGATTTCAAGTCCTCGAAAGCGGTAGGCGGTCAGTCTGCATGCACATCAAAAACTGCTGATATTAACGGATAGTTGGCGCCAACGAGAGTCCATTGTATTATCACGTTTAAGATATTTACTGAACAAAATTGTATCTAAAACTTGAATATTTTTTTAAAAATTATTTGCTATTTAACAATGAAGTTTTAATTTGGAATCAGTCAAAAGATAATGAAAAGTTAGACTTAGCAATTTTAATTTGTATATAATTTTTACAAAATAAGTTATATCAAGGCAAAACATGCGTTTTCGTTTCCCGATATTTATTTAAACTGGAAAAAAATCGTCAAATGTTGTTGTATATTTTTGGTATCGAGTTGTATAGTATCGTATTTTTTTTTTTTTTTTTTTTTAAACTATGACCAAAAAAATCGGTTATATTGCTTAGTTAAATTATTACCGCAAATTTTATAAAATGGAATTTATTTATTTTTTTTTACAAATTGGAGTCAAAGTTTGCATTTTTTCTTATTAGAATCAATTTTGAACAAAATAAATGCATAAAATTTAACCACTCGTTGAATACAGAGAAAATATATTCAGTTCAAAATATAAATATCCGAAACCTGAATTTAAATGAAATCTAATTCTCACTTGAAAAGAACAAAAAGGATTGTTTATTTATTAAGTTTCGGCAACGCAACACTTGGGCGATCTGCCTAGGAAAATACCTTCTGGGAGGTCTTTTAAGGGTAACTGGAAAACTCCACGTGGCCAGTCCGTCCTAGCGAGGCCCGAACCCATGAACGAACTCCCAGTGTTCAGGGAACGGAACCGCTTGGCCACTGGTGGGCAGCATAAAAAGGAAAGATATCATCGAAACAGGTAATTATGAAAATTAGAAAAATCAACAACTTTTTTCGAAAATGCACGACAGAAAATAGAAATTCAGTAATAATTATTTATCAGGAGTTTTTGGAAAGACAACAAATTATAAGTAAACGTTTAAAAGTAATCAATTATTATTTTTTTACGAAAAACAGAAGTTTCGTAAGAGGAGATAATGTTTACTCTAATGTATGTTACTTTAGAATAATTAATGAATGACTCCAAAAAAAAAAATTATAAAGTTTAAATAACGTTACAGAACTTAAATTACCATCAAGTCATGTTAAAATCAGTTGACAAAAATTTTCTTTAAATGTTCTGTAAATTCACAAAGTACAACAGATGACTTTTAACATTAAAAAAATAAAAACGATTGGAATAATCTGTTACAATAATTCAGTGACAATTTAAAAAACAATATAGAAACAATTTTAATAATTAATTCGCGAGATATAAACGTTAAATTCCTGAATATTTTTCATTTAAAATATTTTTGATTGTTTCATAATTTAATATTTTCATAAAATATTTGTGTAGTTGCAATAAGAATAAATAATAAAGTATTACAAGGAGCGTACTATAAATATATATATAAAATACAGTAAAACCTGCCTAGACCGGAATCGAACGGTACCGAATATTTTTTCCGTTTTGGACAGGTTTAACTGTTATTGATTTTGATGGCAATACACAGGGTTAACCAACTTTTGGACCACCCTGTTTTGTGTGTTCTAGGTATACTAGAAACGGAAATAAATTGTTATTCTTTTACAAAACGGATATACTTTATTACTTCTATGTTTTACATAATACAAAGTATTTGAATAATATAACTATTTACAATAGTTAACTGAGTTTTGAGCCATTCTGTATTTACATTATTAAAGTTTAATGTTTTGCCTAAACGACATTAAAAAAAAATTATTTTAAACCCGAAAAGTTTCAATTTAATTTCTTGATATAAGTATTTTAAAATAAAAGTAATATTCTATAAGCAAGCCATAAAAACCAATTTAATTATTTCGTTTCAAAAGCATTTAAACAACAATTTAAATAAACTTAGTTTTATACTAATAATTATTTTTATTATTCCATTAAAATATTTTTACAATAGTTCTGCTCCAGTTGTAGATGCATCACTTAATGATTAGTGTAATTTGATGCTCATAAACCGAACAACTTCATCTAATTACGTGATGAACAATTTGAATGATATATATAATTAAAGACGATAATAGTTTCCTAAGTTAAACGATTAAGAAAGCCACAATTTAAGTAATTTCCGACTTCTCTCATTAATTTTTCGCATGTTATCCTCCTTCCTGACAAGGATGAATTAATTTTAAAAATTGTACAAGTTTAATTTTTATATTTCTTAATGTTTAAAGGACTTCTCACGAATATAATCTTATCGAAGAGTTCCTGTTTGATTGCATTAAAAAATTACATACTACGTAAATAATAAAAATTTATCAATGAACACCTGCCGAATTCATCTAATTACAATATCCATATTTTTAAACAGATAAGCATAATCTGTTAGGATATTATTTTTTTGGTGGGAAAGGAACCACCGGGAATAATATGATATATAGAAATTTAAAGGATAATTTTTGTCAGTCTTCATTATAACAACATGGGGGAAGGCTACGTTTTATGCATTTTATTAGTCAGTTTTGCAACCGCATATGGTGAGACTTTTAATGAATCATTTCATTAATCTCTTTATATTATATTACTTATTTACAATATAATTTTTAAAATATATCTGATTATTATCTTTACTTTTATTTTGAAAATTTTTCATTTTATTAATCAAAACAAGTAAAAATTATTAAATTAAAAAAAAAACTACATTTAGTTATGTATAGTCTATAGTAAGAAAAAATGATGTATTTAAATATCTAAAACATTAATAATATTTTTATTCAATGGTATACATATATACTTTATAAATACTATTGTTTTAATAAAAATAAATTTTTTCTTTTGAGTTAGAATAATAAAATTTCAATTCATTGATGGAAAATTCATACCAAATAACTTTTAAAAAAATCTCCTGTACCATTATATACTTTATAAAGACAATTCATATATTGTGTATGTACTATAAAGTACATACACAATACGTCATTCATTCAAATTTTGAATTTTGAGTGCTTTATTATTAAATTTTAAAGTACTTTCGCATGTTTCATAAAACTAACTGCATGAAAGAAAAGACTCTAGATTCAGTTCTTAAATATAGAATCGCGATTTAACTCGTCTATATCGGCGAATTAATTCTCGAATTACAGATTAAATCATGCACTATTTGATGATTTCGTAATTTAATGTTAGATTCAGTTGGTGAATTAGTGAAGTAACGCTTGATCTAGAGTTACCAGCTTAAAACCTCGGATTATGAAACTTCCGATTTAAAACGTTGTTGGTAAATGCTGCCCTTAGAGTACGACTCAAAATTAAAATTATGTATTGTGCCATCTGTTATAAAAATTATTTTAAATAAAATCTAATAAGAATTATTATTATAAAAGGCAAAAGCCTTATTTTGAGGGTAAAGATGAGTTTTTATAAAAATTATCATCATCAATAACGGGTGAAATTTTCATTAATTCTGACTCCATTCGATAAATGACATCTATCTGCATGAAATTGTCATGTTTGAATTTTTAAAAAGCTGTCTTTTTAATTTAATTTTTTTTTACTCTTTTTATCCTGTCGGTATTAAGAGAACCTTTTGAACTAGCCAATCGTGGGACGGCCAGGCCCATGTTGGGGCAACCAGATGAGGAATGGGGGCCCAAAATTTCTGGGTCGGATCTCCTTTTGAAAAATTCCTCGTGCTTTTCGACCCGTCTGAATTTGTTTCTGGGTTTCCCAGATCGATAGGTATCATACCTAAAAAGCTGGCCATTCGGCCCATTATACCATACAGTGTGATGGTTTTTGGTTTTTATAATCTAAGATTTTATGACAAACTATTGGAAAGTCCAAATAGATTATAACCGTTTAAACATAATTTTCTAACGTATGTGTGATATACAGTGAAATCCGTCCAAAAACGAAGCCCAAGTAAAATGGAAACCTGCCTAAACGGAAAAATTTCTTCGGAACGGAGTGATTTTCCATATTAAAGAAACCCTGTTCAAAACGGAAGTCTGCCAAACCGGGAAAAAAATATGTCGCTTCTGTTCGTTTCCACACATTTAAAAATGAATTTAATTTACTTCGTCAGTCGAAACATTTAAATCTATAAAATTCTTTCTTTTTGCTAAGTTCTTGAAAGTTTTCAGGTATTTACTGCTAATATAATGTAAATAACTCGTCTAACTTTAGGCAAGCGATGTCAAACCTTTTTCCAAAGGTGGGACAAAATTGAATTCGAAATTTAGTAGCTCTAAATATTAAATTTGAGTAATTTAATAAATACAACAAAAATGCTTGCAAATTTTACTTTACGATATAAATTAAAAAATTATAAAAAAAAATAACAACTCTGAATTTTAAGTGTAAAGAAAATAATAATGTGATTCTAACAGAAACAAATATTTTGTTTATCATCAAATAATAAACAGCAGATTTTCCATTAAGTTTTCTAAGGTTCATAGTTAGTGGCATTTATGATTTTTCACAACAGATTTAGAACCTACAGTACGTTCGCCATTCCTGAACTAGACCTTGGTTTTTAATACCCGATAATAAAGTGTTTCCTAACGTGGATAAAATCATTACGTCGTGGGCGGTAGTTACTTTTTGCTGCAAAATTTCTATTGTAGATTGAGGAAATTTTTTTCATTTTTTTCTTTATTTTAAGGTTTAAACGTATCGAGCAGGGAGAGCAAATAATTCGAATGATTTCGTTAATCGAATAATGGATTATTTTTTATCCGAATGAATCCATCACTAATTATAGTTATTCGTTTACTAAACTGTATGTCACCTTTAAATTTTCTAATTAAAAAACAGATTATAGTTTAATTTTCCGAACAATTATTTAAATTTAATTTTAAAAAATTAAAATAAAATTGAGATAATGCTAGCGAAAAGGACATCTTATCTAGTTTTTATCTGAGAAGTGAGTGCCTTTATGATAATGAGCGGCTGTTTCAATATACAGTACTTGATAACGTATTTCGCAATATATGAAAATTTGAAATTTCGTCCCTATTTAATGCAACGCAATGTAGCGTATACAAAATAATAATAAAACGTATAAGTTAATTTCGTTTATAGATTTGATTATAATTAAATTTATAATTAAAATGACAAAATTAACTACTTCAAGCTGCATTATGTTCCCGATATTTTAATTATCACGCTTGTGGGAATAAAATTATCTAATATATATTTTAATGATAAGGAGTAATCGTGACTTAATTTACCTCATAAAGGATGTTTTAAATATTAACTTTTTAAATAAATAGTAATAATAATTTTTATGAATTTAAGAGAAATTCAGCAATACGTATTAATACAGTAGAGCCTCGATTATCCGACTCAATTGGGGACTGGGGTTAGTCGGATAACCGAAAAGTACGAAAAAATCCATTATTAGTGTAGTATATTATTATTATTATATCCCATGTAATTAATATATTAGTATATCGCTATTAACCTACTTCGCGTTGAATTTTCATCGATGTTAAGATTAACAAAAATTTTTTAAAATAATAATCGTCGCTATTGTATCGTTAAAAATTAGAAAATTAAGCCTCGTTTAAATACTGGCTCCCTTGCCAAGACATAGCCAAATATTGTAGCGCCACATCACTAGCGGACATTTGAAATTTGCCGACTAGGACGGTCGGTTAACCGAGGTGTCACTAG